AGAGAGAGAGGGAGGGAGCACGTGTGCTGCATGAGGGAGGTCAAAGAGAGAGGAAGAGAGAGAGAATCCCAAGCAGGCTCCACACTGTCAGTGGAGAGCCTGATGTAGGGCTTGAACTCACTAACTGTGACATCATGATCTGAACCAAAATCAAGAGTCAGATGCTTAACCAACTGAGGCACCCAGGTGCTCCATGGTCCCTTCTAAACATTTCTCCGTAAAACAAAGGGTGGAGCCAGCCCCCCTTCCTGCAGGACCTGGAGAGCCAGGGCAACAAGCAGGCCCAGCTTTCCACCAATCACCAAGGCAGCCAGCAAGAGAAGAACCCCAGGAGACCCCCTTCAAAGCCCTTCCCACTGGAGCCTTGAACAGGAGGACATTGGAGGGCTGGTACTAGCTGAGGGTGGAGAAAGAGCCTGCCATGTCCCAATCCCACTATACCGATCCTGGTTGTCTGGCCACTTCTAGAGAGGTCAACAAGAACCTCAGTCACCACACACACCAGCCTCAGCCTCCCCAGGGAGGGGTGTGGGATCAGAGTGAAGGGAGCTTGGGCCTTGGCTCCAGTCCAGAGCACTGCTTCCTGCTACAGAGCTCTGGGTGCTCAAGAGGCTTCCTGAGGTGGGGAAGACTAGGAGGGTTTAGGAGCAGGCCGGGCAAGGGAAAGAAGAGGCAGAGAGTCTTGACCTGCCCAACATGGAGCTGGAGGCTTGGAGGGACTCGGCCAGGCCCACTCCCTGACGGGACTGGATCCCTCTAAGAGGGACCTGAGAGGAAATGGTGGTGTCAGCAGCTCCCTGTCCCTCCCCCACCCGACTCTGCAGTCTCTTGTAGATTTTGGTCCCCTTCCCAGCTGCCATGAGGTACTACTCTCCACCCTCCTCGTCTGGGTCCCACTCCTGCAAACACTCATGAGTCTGAGTGGCATGAGGGAGTCACTAAAGGGGCCGGGACATCATGGGAGCCAGCTTCTACAGCACTGTGGGATGGTAGAGGTGAAGAGAGGGCATGGAGCCAGGGCCCAGAGAGCCCAGTGGGGAAGGGGGGGGGGCAGAGAGGCAGGAGGTATCTGACTCAAGTTCAAGGCCCGCCCAGAGGGTTCTCCTGGCTGGGGGATCTTCCAGCATTCCTTCCCTGTGACTCACTATGATGCCCCACCCCAGGGAGCCACCTGTTCCCCTCCCCAACCCAGGCTTCTGGACTGAAAACCCAAGCCCAGGAATCTGCCTTCACCAACACAGCCTGGAGAGGCAAAGGGGAAGGACAGAGGGGTTCTTTGGGGAATGAGCCTCCAAACTCCTCAACCTACTCCCCAGGACGTGAACAAAGGCCATCCCCTCTTGGAGGCAGGGGCCCAGGAGACCCAGCCTAAGGCACACCTTTCCCCTCTTCAACCCACTTCATGCCCACACCCTGTGCCCTGCACACTTGGGAACCAGTCAAACCCGGGCATCCAGGTGGCTGATGCCAGCCTGCCCTGCCCATGGCTACATGCCCAGCTAGGTACAGGGACACCCCTCAGCCCACTCTAGACCATCTAAAGATGAGCCAAAAGGGCCCAGGAAGGCCGGGCTGGGACTAAGAACAGGGGGTGAGGGCAGCCACTGTGCAGCAGGCTGGTGAGGGGAAGAGAATGCTGGCAGGCCCAGCAGTGGTGGAGGGCCTACCGGTCTAGCTGCAGCCTCAGGGGTGAGGGGCTCTGGCGGATCTTGCTCTGGGCCTCAGCATGAAGCATACCCTCAGCACTCTCCCCGTTGATGGCCACAATAATGTCTCCAGGCCGGAGGTCAGCAGCCTCAGCCTTGCTCCTCTCAGTTACCTGGAGGGGATGAGAAGCAAGTGGTCTGAAGCACCCCTGCTCAGACAGTGATGACATTCATGTAGGGATGGAGGAGAGGGGATTTCTCTCTGTTCTGCCCAAGAAACACAGAACCTGGTTTGAACCAGACTGGCCTGTGTCCCCCTTTGTCTCTCTGCACAGCAGTGTCTGCCTAGCTTATCAGCTAATCCCCTCCAAAAGCTGGAGTGGAACCCCACCCCCCACCCCAGCACTGACACTCTAACAGGGGCCTCCAGAAGAAATGGCAGAGTTTCAGGGACTGTGCTTGGAAATACTTTTGGATAGAGAGCCCTGCCCGTGCAAATCACACCATGCAGGTGGCTGCCTGCACACAGGCCTTCTGCATGAATGCTCCCTGGCCTGGGCCTGGGTCAAGAGGAAACTGCCAAGAACTTGGGGCTCCTGTTCTCGTAACCTCCCAAAATGGCTGCCAGCAGGTATGGGGTTGGTGAGCAAGGAGAAAAGAGCAGGCCCTGTACTTGGACCAGCTCCCTTTCACTCCCTAGTAGTCTGCTCCTGAAGTGGTCACCACATCCCCACGGCAACAGGGCCCAGGAGCCTGGTCCTCCCCAGGCTAACACTCCCAGAAGCAGGCCTTCTGGATCCACAATTAAAAAAGAAAGGTGCCTGTGGGGACCAGGTAGACAGGGTAGACCCTAACTCTGGCAGTACCGCCTTAGCTCCTGGAATTAGCCCTTACCTTGGTCACCATGATAGGTGTGTGGAAATCCCTGCCCCCGGTGATCCGGAAGCCCCAGGGCCCTGGCCCCACCACATCCACTGTTAGGGCCATATCTGAGGAAGAAGGGATGGAGACACTGTAAGGTGATGGAAGAGGTAAAAGAGAGGGGATGACAGGTCCAGGGAGCAGCCAGTCAGGGGCTGGGCGGGTGAAGGGGAGGGTAGAGGAAGTGACTAACTCCCTCCCTCCCCCCCCCCCCAGTTTCACTTCCCCCACCCTGGGAAGCCGTGACTCTGAGTTCCCCCTTCACCACCACCATCTTCAGCAAAGCAACTCCCCAAAGGCAGGCTGTTAGGGTGCCTCACAGGGCCTTTTGCCACAGAACAGGCGGCAGGGGCTAGCAGGTGGTAGGAGATGTCATGGTTTCCTGCCTCTCCCCCTCCCCCACCACAAGGTTAAGTCCCACCAGTGCTGGCTTCCGGTCCCCAAAACTGACTGCACAAGGTACTTCCTCCCCACTCTGGGGGAGGGCAGCACTCTGGGAACAGGAGTGATAGCAAACAAGGGGGTGATGCCACCACAGACTCTTCAAGTAGTTGGCTGGATGGGGACTGGGCCAAAGTCTTCAGAGGGGCCTCCTGGCTGCCTGCCTGGCCCCTGGCGATGTGATCCAGATAGGCAAGACTGGGCTTCCCACCTCCTCCAGGGGCCTGCTGCCCTCTGAACAGCCCCGGCCAGGAGGACGGGCTCATCTGCCAAGTTGGGCACACCCACCCCCTGGCAGTGGCCAGCAGGTTGAGCTGATTGATGCTGCCTGCTAGCTGGGGCCACAGGCCTCCCATTCACTGCCCCCTCCGCTGGGCAAGGGAGTGTCCTTGCACACCAAGCCCTTGTAGGATTTCCTGAGCCTCTAGTTATGGAGCTGGGAGCCAACCCAGGCAGGAAGCTGCAATGCCAGCCTGGGCCACCACCCTGCCCAGCACCCACCCTGGGGCTGCCCCTGGGGAGGCCCAGTGACTGCAAGTGCTGCCAATCAACATCAAAGACACTAGGGCCACTTCCCGTGTTTAGGAACCTGGGCAGAGGACGCCCAAGCAAGAGGAGCTGTCTGCCCTCTCCCCAGTCCTTGGCTTCCCCTTTTGCTCCGGACTAGCCCCGGTCCCTGCCTAGGTCCCTAGGTTGGCCCTGGCGGTTCATAGACGCTTTGGAGTCTCAGACCTTTGAGCCTGCCTGTGGACTCCGCGCCCGGGGCCCCGGGGAGGTGCCCAGCCCGTCGGCCCGGCTCTCCCAGTTCTGGCACCTTCTGTGCTCCGAGGCCAAAGTACCCACGGGCCGGGGGCTGGAGGAGGAGCGCCCGGGACCAGGAAAGCTCAGCACGCGGGGCGCACCAGCCTCTAGGGAGGCTGCAGGCCGTGGGCGGAGGAAAGAGCCAAAGCTCTGAGAGCTGCGCAGAGGGGACGCGGCGCGCAGAGCTGCGAGGTCCCCGGAGCCGGGAAGCTCGTCGGCCGTGCGGACGGTGCGCAGGTGGGCGCGCTCACCTGGCTCCCGCTCACCTGGCTCGCTCTCACTCGTCGGGCTGGGAGGCCAGGCCCGGTAGGGAAGGGAGGGGAAGGAGGGAAGGTGTGGAGACACCGCCGCTCCCGCTGCCGCCGCTGCCGCCGTCTGCCCGACTCTGGGGAGAGCCCGCCCGGGGCTCCAGGACCTGCCTCCGCCCATGTGATCCCGGAGCCGCCCCTGCCGCCGCCCCTGGCCGGGGAGGACGCCTCCTCCGCGCAGCCCAGCCCCGGCGCTGCCACCTGGCCCGCGCCCCGCGGGGGGTGTGCGGGTGGGGGGAGGGTCTCTCCCTAGAGCCCCCTGAAGGCCGCGGTCGTCGTCCCCGAGGTGCCCTTCTCCTCCCGACTGCCCCCTGAGGGTGCCGCGGAGGCGTTCCGGTGACGGGTCGCGAGCCCCACTTCACAAACAGCTGAGACTGGCGCCCTCCCCCCCAACCTCCCCCAGGCCGGTGGCGCCCACCCGCCTTCGAAGGGCCCCTCGAGCACCCCCACACCCGGGGCTGGGGCGGGGCAGGGCCGGCTGGGTATGTCTGCGGTCCGCCTGGCATCTCCGCCCACTCCGGGCTCCGACACAGGCGAGGATGCAGCCCCGACACCCACAGATCCTCAGCCCCGGCCGCCCCTCGGACCTCTTCAACTCCGTTCCCCAACGGCCGGCGCCCCGGCTAGTCGGTGGTGCAGACTCCTGGGGTTTTCGGGCTGCTCAGAGCTTCCCTGTTTGAGATGCTTCTCAAGCCTGCTCCGCTCAGGGAGACCTTCCAGGCCCAAAAGATGGAGAGACTGCTGGCTGGAGGGCCCTGGGCACTCTCCCGGGCTGATGCTCTTTCCGTTCCTAGCTGCCCTCCCCTCACGCTCTCTGCTGCCCCGCCTGGGGTGGGCCAGCCCCAACAGTCACCACTGGCCCTCGCTGCCCATGTGGCCAGCCCTCTGCCAACCACCTGGAACCCAGGCTCTAGGGCTCTGGAGAGGACAGCCGAAGAAAGGCCCCAGGCACCAGCTCAGTACCACCTGGCAAATGGTTCCCCAGAGCCATACCTGGCAACCCTCACCCTGGAGACCTCGGGGCCCACCAGAGCTGGCTCTGGCATCTTCCACCAGCCTCCAGTCTGCACTGTCTCTGTCAGGCTGGTTTGTTTTCAGGGAAGCACACCTGTGGGCACAGCTGTAACTTGCCTGCTTCAGGTATGAGTCAGTCCCTCCAGGTTCCCTCTGCAAGGAGTGCCCTCACCATCCCTCTCGCCAACCTATGCCCTGTGTCTCGTCCTCTTTGCACTCACAAACCCGGAGACTCTGGGTCTCCCTCCCACAGCCTCTGTCCTCTATGTGCTTAAGCCACTCTCCCACCAACCACTCCTGGGCCTCCTGGAATGGCCACTTTGCCTGGTACATCTGCTCTACCTCCCCGACTAGGCTGGAAGCCCTTGAGGGAGCAGGAAGCTGCAGGACAGGCAAGCACAGCCTTGGGGTCACACAGACCTAGCCTCAAATGCATGATCTGCTTCTTATTGTGGGACTTTGGGTAATTTCCTCAGTTTCCCCACAGGTAAAGTGAGCATAATGCATACTTTAGCCTCCTGTTGCATAGACTGTCCTCTCATATAAAGCTGCTGGCATGCAGATTCCTCTTAGGGCAGGGTGGGGGGATTGGTTCACTGCTCCATTCCCAGAGCCTAGTACAGTGCCTGGCACACAGTAGGCATTCAATAAATGTTGAATGAATATTGTTTGAAATGATTGAATGGGTTAATTTCCCTTCCTTCACCCCCAATTTGTGGCAGGGCCTCTGTTTTACACCTCTTTGTGCTCCTGACTTTGCACTGGTCTCTAGAAACATCTACAGGTTAATCTACAGGATTTCTGCTCTGTGGGCCATGCAGTCACAAAACTCATGACAAAGACAAAGTCGTCCGACCTAGGGACAAGGATCCTGTGGAACAGAAGGGAGTACTGTCCTGCTCTAAGCAACTCTGTGGCCCTGGGCAAATCTATCAGCTCACCTCTCTAATGGCATGAGCATACCCAGTGGCCTACAGCCCTTTCTGACTCTGACCCCACAGGTCCCCCTCACCCCTCAGGCCTGTGATCCTCCAGTGACCTCCTGCCTCACACCAGGTCAAGGCACAGAAGTAGTCATTGTACAGGCAGGTCTGTCGTGGCAGGCAGCCCAGGGGCGTAGGGTTGGCTTGCTGGGGAGGTTTCAGGGATCTATCAAAGAGGGTGTGGATTTGGTTTCTGCCCCAGGGAAAGGAAGTCACAACCCTGCTATCTTTGATGAGGGCATCAGGGAATGTGGAGAAGCTGGGACAGGGGATGAGGAACAGGCCAGTGGGTTCCTGGAGAATAATCATTTGCACAAGATGGGCTGGACCTACCAACTTAGAAGCAGATCGCAGTGAGGACCAGGGTGGACAGAACAGATGGTGTGCACGTAGGTCTTGTTCTTCCAGCTGCTGTTTAACCAGTGTTGGGGCCCAGGCCACACCCAGGCTATGGCCCTGTCATTCACAGGTCTCCCCCACCCCCATCCCAGCAGAGCAAGGCACCAGCACCTCTTCCCACCCACAGGCCTGGAAGACAGGATTGCCAGGAAGTATATAAAGGAGGCCCAACCTGGGGCGGCCCCAGGGAAGTCCTTGGCCTCCTGCATGACCTTCCTTCTCTGGGACAAGGACTGCCTGGGCATTTGATACACTTTGTGCAGACAGGTGGCAAGAGTCATTGGACCTGACTTCACATTCATGTGGCCCAGACAACTTAATTTCTCAGCCTCGGTCTCTCGTCCTATAAAACAGAATCATATACCTGTCATTGAGACGCTTACGTCAGAGAACACACGTGTAGCACCTCATGCCCTGCTCAACTCCCAGCACCTGCCAAGGACTGGAGTTTTCTTTCTTGGCAGAGCAGCCGGCCCAGACGGTGCCACTGCTGTCACCTAGCAGGATCCACCAGGCCCCAGGACTCTGAAACCTTGGGCGAGAAGAGTTGCTTCGGGTAAGCTGTGCCCCACCACTCCCAGCTTCCCGCAATTGATTGCTCAAAAACCCGAGCTCAAAGAAGAAAGTAAACAAACACACGAGAGCTTTGGTGTGGAACTGGAGCACACAGAAGGAAAACATTAGGAGCAGAAGAGCTAGAAATGTCATCTAGTCCAGCAACCCCATGGCCACTCCGGAATCAAAACAGCCTGCACACAAGGCCACATTCAGCTCCCATCTCTGGTTTCTCCCCATAATCAGGCCTTGCCCTGGGCCCTATGATGTGAGTTCTCTCTCAGCATTGCTTATCAGACTGCTGTCTGGTCCTGGGGGCTGCCCCATTCTGCCTGAGACCCGGGGGCTGAGATCTTTAGAGACAATGATGGTGCTTTTCCAGCCTCCCCTTTCACACACACACTCAACATCCCACCTGGTTCCCAGCACAGCTGACAGCAGAGAGAATTCCCACAACGCTAAGCAGGAGGAGCCCTCTCCTGCCCAGAAGGAAAAGGACTGGCAAGGTCCCTGGTATCCAGATTTATTTGACATTCTCTTTCAGAGGGGACTTGGGGGTTGGAGGAGCTGGGGAGGCTGGAGGGCAGCACATATCAGTCTTCTGGGAAAACACCTGGAATAGGCCAGTCCTCTGAGGCCCAGCCCTTCCTGGGCACTACAGCAGCAGGATGGCCCACACAGCCCAAGCCCAGGGCTTGGCAGCCTTTGGGAAGAGGGCGCCTTCAGGCAAGACCTCTTACCAGGCCTTGGGCATGAAGGAGGTGCTGTGTCCCTCTCCCACCTCACTCCCAAGCCCAGCTGGAGGCAGGAAGGCAAAGGGGGCAGCAGGTAAGCTGGACTGAAAGAGGAGGAATCTCCTCTAGGCAGAGGCGGCCTTTGGTCTCTGTTAGGTTAGGAAGCTGGTCCTTGTTAGAAGAACCCCATGGGGGTGAAGCTGGGAGCTGGTCCCTGTTAGAGGAAATGCCATAGCAGGGCGGGGTGGGGGGCTCCAGGGTCTGGTCTCAATAAGGCCTGGAAACAGTCTCCACTTCAAAGCAGACCTCTATATTTGGGGAGTGTGGTAGGGGAGGAAATAAAAAGGCTGTTGGAGGAATGTTTGTGAGTTGTGGGTGGGAAGCAGTCCAGGGGGCTTCGAGGGGGCTCCAAAGAATGGCTGCTGGAGTTGTCTGCAGATGCCAGCAGGTCAGGTCTTGGGGAAGGGAGGAGGGTGGATCTTCTCTCCCTCCTGTAAGTGCTACCGCTCCCCACCCCATCCTGGCTTGGCTCTGAGTTGCCACGGAGACCACCACTCAAACCGGAGCTACATAATTTCCAGGGAATGTCCCAAATTTCTGGGTCCTCCGGGAGACACCTGAAAGAGAAAAAGAGAAAAGGAATTCCCTAAACTTCTTTATTTAGTAGGAATGTGGGGGTGTGGGACCTTCTCCCTACTGGCAGTGCCCGGAACTGCATGTGGAGTCCCTGTCCCAGAGACGAAGGATTTGCTTTCCTCATCTCTGCCCCCTAGCGGGCATCTGGGCAAAGCTACACTTCCTAAATTCAATGACTCGGAGTTTGAGTACTCTACAGTGTATAACTTTGCACACAGCACTGAATTACCCAGCCTTCCTCAGGAAAGTAAGCAGGAGGATGAATTCAGACCTTAAATCTGAGATTTAGCAGACCTTAAATATGGAGGAAACTCACTGTTCTCACCTTTATTTTTAAAAACAATTTAAAAAACTTTTTTAATGTTTATTTTTTGAGAGAGAAAGAGAGTGCAAGCGGGGTAAGGACAGTGAGAGAGTGAGACACAGAATCGAAACCAGGCTCCAGGCTCTGAGCTGTCAACACACAGCCTGATGCGGGGCTCAAACTCAAAGACCACGAGATCATGACCTGAGCCGAAGTCAGACGCTTAACCGACTGAGCCACCCAGGTGCCCCTAAAAACAAACTTTTTAATGTTTATTTATTTTTGAGAGAGAGAGAGAGAGAGAGTGACAGAGAGACAGAGTGTGAGTGGGGAGGGGCAGAGAAAGAGGAAGACACAGAATCAGAGGCAGGCTCCAGGCTCCGAGCTGTCAGCACAGAGCCCGATGCGGGGCTGGAACCCACAAACCGCGAGATCATGACCTGAGCCTAAGCTGGATGCTTAACCAACCGAGCCATTCAGATGCCCCACCTTCAATTTATTTTTTTAAATGTTTATTTATTTATTTTGGGAGAGACAGAACCCCAAGTAGCCTCCACACCCAGTGCAGAGCTGGATGCAGGCCTCCATGTCACCACCATCAATGACCTGAGCCAGAATTGAGTCAGACACTTAACCCACTGAGCCACCTAGGCGTCCTTCACCTTCATCTTACAGATGGGATAGGCAGGCAAGGCCTAAAGAGAAGGCCGAGTGAGTTCCCCAAAAGCACTTAGGGGTAGAGGTGGGAGTAAAATCCAGGCCTTGGGTCTGCTACAACCCCAAAGAAACCCATGTTCTGGGGGTGGAGAAGGGGGAATGCTAGAAGACACAGGAATATAAAATGAAAGTAAAGTCCTGAACCTTCCCCTCCTAGCAGGCTGGCATCCTGACTTCCTTATGAGCAGCCTATGCTCACCCTGTCCCCAGCCCTTGCCGATACTGTTCCCCTACCTGGGATGCCTCCCCTAATCCTTCCCCTGCCCTTCAAGGCCTAGCTCCCCAACTTCCTCCAGGAAGCCTTCCCCGTCCAAAATGATAACCACTAGCCACATGTAGCTACCGAGCTCTTGGACTGTGCTAGCGTGACTAAGATACTGAACTTTCCAAGTCTTTCCTCTAAAAGCACTTGTGGCTTATACCACAAAAGTGGTGCTTTTTCTTCTTGTCTACATTTGCAAAGCTTTATTAGTAGTAAAAAAAAAAAAATTCAAAAGCAGGGGCACCTGGGTGGCTCAGTCGGTTAAGCATCCAACTCTTGATTTCAGCTCAGGTCATGATCTCACAGTTCGTGAGTTCAAGCCCCGCATGGGGCTCTGTGCTGTGTGGAGCCTGCTTGGGATTCTCTCTCTCCCACTCTCTCTGCCCCTCCCCTGCGCTCTCTGACTGTCTCAAAATAAATAAATAAACTAAGTAAATCCAGCAAAAGCAGAAGTGTACAGAGGAAAATGAGGATGTGCCCCCCAAGCCCACCCCTCTGAGGCAAGCGCTGTTAACATGTTAGTGCTCCGTGATTGCTGGTGTGTCAGAAACTTGGTCAGCAATGAGGTGCTAGGATTCAGATGAGAAACGGTGGGTTGCCAGGTCAAGAGACTGCCCCTGGGGCCACCAAGCAGCCTTGCCACCCTTTAGGCTCGGCAGCCTGCTGTGGGAGGGGGCTCTGGCCGCTCGCTATTCTCTGAAAACGGCCCCTTCCTCTGAAGCTGAGGCCTGTATGGCCCTGCCCACTTGGAGGAAACAGGCTGTGTGAAGGCTGCTGGGTTGGTCACCTTGAACCAGGCCAAGGCCAACTTGAGGCTTCCTGCTTTAGTCCTTTGCCTGAGCTGCCCTAGGACCAGCCCTAAGGGCCGGGATCTTTCTCTACTCCCTCTTGTGGGCAGGGGAGCCAGCTGCTAACTGGGGGTGGGGGTGGGTATATTTGGATGTGAGACTTGGTCCTTCCCATCAGAGACAGGTGTGTGGTGGGAAGGACCAGGGCTGTGAGGGTCAGGAACGCTGCTGTCTTGAGTCCATGCTGACTTCATTAGTGACCCTGGGCTTGTCGGTCAGACTGCAAATCTTTGCTGAATCGGCACTGGCAGGCCGACAGCCCACTAAATCTTCCCAGGGACCCCAAGATACCCACTCTGACCTGTCCCTTGGGTCATCCCCCAGGACCCTGAGATATTCCCCAGCTATCCTGCCCAGAACTCACAGATATCCCCTTCTGGTCTGCCCCTCAGCCCATCTCCCTGGGACCCTGAAATACCCCTTCCAACCTGCCACCCCCCAGCCCACCTGCCAGGCCCACATACCCACAAACCAGCCATCATCACACTGCTGCATGACGTCTACCCGATCCCCCTCCCGCAGCTCCAGCTCATCCTCATTCTGGGGCCGGTACTGGTACATCGCCCGATACCTGTGGGAGACAGCATCATGGCAACAACTAGAGTCTGGCCCCTGCCTCAGATCAGGCCCAGAGAGTCTAACTCAAGTGTTGCCATGTCCTCTGAGTTTTCCAGATAATCCCATTGGCCCCTGGCCCAGCTTCTAGAATGGCAACTCTGTCTGGCTTCAGTGCAACCTTTCCCAGGCCTGCACCCTGTGCTCCAAGCCCTAACTACCCCAACCCCTCCTCCTCCGAGCTCCCAGTGCCTTCAGGTCTGTTCTACCAGTTCCCACACTTCACACATACACGCACTGACCTCAGGGCTGGAAACACAGTGAGGAGACTGAGGCCAAGGGGCAGAGTGTGGGAAACTTGCTTTAAGGACAAAGGGCTAGCAGAGACAGGTCAGGACCACCACAGACAAGTGGCCCCCCAGCAAATCATCCATCGGTGCCAAAGGCAGGAGTTTACCAAATCTATCTTAGTGGGAAAAGGGCAAGCTGGGGGGGGGGGCGTCACTGTGCTCAGCACTGCCTGCAAGCAACACTCCACCCCTGACCAAGCACCCCCAGATGGTACTCACGGGGTCCAGTGTATCTGAGTGGTGTTGGGGGAGGTCCCCAGGTCCACGGGACGGCTGGAGCCTCCAGGATGGGACAGAGCTGACCCAGAGGTGCCGAAACCCTGAGGGTCCACAGGAGGAAAGGCAGGCACATGCAGGCATGAGGGAGGGGAAGTGCAGTGGGCCCTCCCACTTTACCTCCTGCCCCCATCTCATCCTCTGAACCCCCATGGCAGAGAGGTCTGTCTGAGCATTGCACTTCACAGGGGCTGGGAAGCTGAGGCCCAGCTAGGGTAGGTGGCCGATTCTAAACGCCAGCACAAAGCCAGGCATGGGACGTGCCTCATGCTCACATGTTTGCTGAGTGAATGGATGAGCACAGGAGTGAGCGTACCTGTTTGTGGACTAGGTCAGCGTAAGTACCAATGATATCTTTTCCCCATCAGCTACTGTAAGCTTTTAGTTCAAACCCACCCGAGTACCCTCTCCAGTGGGAATTATTATCCCCATTCCACAGCGGAAAAAAACTAAATCCAGAGACTGTATGTCATCTGCCTAAGGTCAGACGCAAGGGAATGGCAGACCTCTGACTCCCACATGACCCTGTGCTAGAAACTGATACAGGCAAATCACAAGAGTGGAGTCTATATGGTCAGGAGGTCGGGGCTGGCTTTGGGGTCACACCTAAAACTAGCTGGCTGCCCCATGCCTTCCTGGGCTGCAGCGCAAGAGCCAGAACCAACTTGAGAGGTCTGTGGTCCACAAGGCCAGGGTGGCTCTGCCGTGCAAGGTTCTGCCCAGCTATTCCACTGATCTGTCCTGGGGCAGACTAGGAAGGAATCCAAAGGATTCTGTCAAAGGAATGGAGGAAATAGTGTGGGAAGCAGGGATCAGCTCTCTAAGCTGAGGCAGGTCACCTTACCTGGCCCTGGGCTCTGGGCTCCTGGGTGGGGAAGGAGAAGCCAGTACGGCGGGGGGAGGTCTGGCTCCCCCAGTCAGGATCGACTGGGCTGTGTGGTGCTAATGGGGAGCTGGAGTGCCGAGCCAGACGGGCGGTGGTCAGACGGGGAGATGCAGGGAGCTGGGGGCCATCGTCACAGATCCGGACCCGGGGATCACGGCACACCTGCACGTAGCTGGCAGGGAAGATGCCCTGGCGCGCTGTGCCGGAGATGCGCCCCTCGTACCAGTTCTCATTCACCTTGCGGATCAGGCAGATGCGCTCCCCCTGGGGGTGCAGAAAAGCATCAGCATCTGCGAGGCCCTCCTGGGCACCATGCCCCTGCGGGTGCCCACGGGGGCTGTCTCATTTAAACCTAATGCCTTGCACAGAGCAAGTTCAGAGCAGGTCAGCAGATTGTGCAGTCACGTCACTAGAAGGTGGTGGAATCAGGAGCCAAGCCCCGGCTGCCTGGGCTCTTCCCACAACATGCCACACTGGGCACGGATCAAGTCCTGCCTCTTTGGGAAGCCTATGTGACATGTACCCCTCTGACTCCAAAGCACCCTCTCCCCGGAATTCCAGTCACGGGGGAACCTGGTGGCTCTGCCAATTTCAAGTTGTGTGGCCTCGGACAAGTTACTGTGCCTCTCTGAGCCTAGTTTCCTCACATGTTAAGTGGGGATAGCAATCGTGTTGCTGTGAGGAGCAAGAGAGATCAGTGGCCGACTGGTAAGAAGCACTGGACAGCCATCAGTCGCCACTGCCGTGACACAGTCCTGTCCCTGCCTCTTCCCTGGGTGATCTATCACCAGTGCATCAAAAAACAAACTCCCAGGGACAGCCAGTGTGTCCTCAAGCCCACATGCTGACTGACATTAGGCAGGGCTGCCCTGGGGAGGATGGTCTCCAGCCCTCTCCCGCCCCCCACCTCTCACTACCCAGCCAGCTCCTTCCCTCTCTCTCCCTGGGGCTAGCTCTTCTGGAGGACCTTCGCTAGGGGCATTCAAGGTCTCTGCCCCCAAAATCAACCAAAGCGAGACCAGCTCCCACTTTCTAGGACTTTTTCAAACTTCCTTATGATCTATAGTAAAAATTAACATTCTAATAACAACCCAGTACGCACACACGCACATGAGTACATATGTAAGTGCCTAAAAGTTTGGTAAAATACCCTTTCTACATGCAAGGCATTATAAGATTTCCATTCTGTTCTTATAAAAATGCTGATTATGATCCTCACAGACTACCAACCTGCAACTGAAAAAAGCACAACTACTCTAGAAATTTCAAACTTTTAAAAAATGGGCTAAATTAGGGGAAACATATGCAAAGAGATTAGGAAAATTTTTAAATACTGGGAGAAGATGGGTACACTTGACTCCTTAAAAAAATGTTTTAGCTACACATATTTACCCATGTCCTCACCGGCCCCTGACTGCCCCCCCCCCCCACTTCCTGCCTGGCCGCACCTTGCGGAAGGACAGCTCCACCTCCAGATCCCCCTTGAAAGTGTACTGGGCCACTGCTTCTCCATATTCCAGCACCTGGTAGGTTGGAGGCTTGATGGGCTTAGGGATCTCATCTGCAGGCAGCACCTAGAGGAAGAAAGGTTAAGCCTGGGCATCAACTGGGCAGACCTGAGGCTCCCGGGAGGGTGAGGTAACAAAGAGAAGATGGTATCAGTGAGATGTGCCCCAGAAGCCAGCAAGGATACAGACAGCAGACACAAGCTTTGGGGTGGCCAGGGTGAGCACAGCCAAGGGGTGGTTAGTCCCAGAAGGCTACTGGAGGAAGAATTTCCCCTGTGGTATGTGGAGTAGGCAGTGGAAGAACAAAGATGGAAGTCAGTCCTAAGAGACAGTTTAAATTAGAGTACAGAAGTAAATGAAGAGTTCTAAAAAGCAGGGAACATCTTGCAACCTGATCTAAAAGTGAGGATCTAACACCACTGCCGATACCAAGTATCCTTCTTCCCTGTCCCTTCTACCCCACCAGGTGCCTAGAATCCCCACATTCCCTTTGCTTCACCCTATTCATAAAAAAAAAAATCAAGAAGCTAGTAAACTATTTCATACTAATATGTAAATGTCTAATAACACGGGATACTGCATATATTTGGTGGAGTTTCAGAATCACAGAGACTGTTCTGAAGGTAAGGGAGGCCTACTGATTCTTATCAAATCAAGAGCCCAAATTAAACAATAACCCAATCCATGGGTCAAAGAGGAAGTCACAAAGGAAATGAGAAAATACTTTGAGTTGAATTAAAAAAAAGCAAAACATCAAAACCTGTGGAGCATAGTTAAATCAGTGCTTACAGAGAAATTTATATCATTAAATACTCAAGGAAAATAAAGTTTTCTTTATTTAAGTAAATTCTACTCCCAATGTGAAGCTCAAACTCACAACCCCAAGATCAAGAGTCACATGCTCTACCCACTGAGCCAGTCAGGCACCTCTGGATCTTGTACTTAACCCCTTGTCTCTGAACCTTACAAGGGCATCTGTAAAGTGGGGATGACTGATCTCTTCTCAGGTTAATGAGAGAACAAGGAAGGTACTACAGATGAAGAAAGTGATGCATGTACATGTGATGTGATTAGAAAGCTGTCACACACTACATGCCCTTGCCAGTTGCCCTCGGGATCCTTCCCAAAGACAGCTTGAGAGAGCTGCTGAATGGTGAAAGTCTGGGCACAGGGATGGGGTCGCTTGGTTCTCCTCCATGGGCTGCACTCTACCTTTAGTCCTCATTTAAGAAACATGTCCTGAGTACAGGCAAAGTACTGGGTGCGGCCCTGTGGGGGCCAAGGGCATGAATGAGGCTGACCAGGCCCCTGCCCCTGGAGTTCACAGTTTTACCTATCAGGAAGCCTGTGAGATGTGTGGGAAGCAGTCAGCTCCAGAGAAGGGCTGTGGAGGGGTCAGTGCGTCTGCACCCTAAGTCTCTGCAACCCATCCGCCCTCCAGGCCGCACTCCTGCTTGCTCTCCTGCTTACTTCCACATAATTGGCAGGGAAGATGCCCAGTCTACCATGGTGCTCCCCTTCCAGCCAGTTCTTGTCCACCTCCTTGTGGATGTAGACAATGTCACCCTTCTTCAGAGTCAGCTCCCTGCAGGCCAGAGTAAGGACATCCAGCAAAGTGAGGCCCTCCCAATCCTCCTTCCCTTCAGATCCTGTCTAGTGCACCCAGAGTCTCACCCACCTCTGGGGAGGCCCCGGCAGCCCTGTCCTCCCCTCCTCCCATAGGGTGCAGAGACAGTCCTGGGGGTGGGGAGGAGAGAGAAGGGCACTTACTTGGGGGACTGTGCCTGGAAGTCAAACTTGAGTCTGGCGGCCTTCCTCTGGGCAGGAGGAGAGGACAGAGGGAGTCACTTCAGTCAAGCAGGCGGCGGGTCTGAAACAGCCATCACCGGGACCCACCCCAGACCCTCTCGCACCCTGACCCTAGTGCTTTCACCCCTCCTTACCTTCTTCTCTTCCTTCCTGGCTGGGCTGCCCCCTCGTTCAGAGGCACTAGGGTCTGTGGAGAAGCGCTACCTCAGCTTGGGAACGCCACGTCTGGGGGGGCGGAGTTGGGATGGTGTTCCGCTCCCCCCCCCACCCCATGACAGGGACCAGTGGAAGCAGGGGGCTCTATGAACGTCCTGCCTCCCCACCCCCACCGCCCCCCACCCCCAGCCCAGGCACCAGCATAACTGGTGCGTGGCGGCGGGCGTCTGGGTGAGAAAAGGAGCTGGTCCTTACCTCGGGCCGAGGTAGGGTAGACAAAGTCCCTGCGACCTAGGAAGGGGCTTGTTCCATCCGCCATTCTGTGGGGGCTCAGGGGCCGGGAGGAACCCTGGTAAAGTGCATTCGGGTAACTGGAGCTCCAGGCGGAGGCCGGGCTGCGCGGGATACAGCGAGTGAGCCACCTGTCCGGGGCCTCACACCCTACGCCGCTCACCCCTGCCCGCCCAAAAGTCTCTCCGCATCTCCCGCCGCCTCCTCCCAAGGCGTCTCCCACGTCCCGGGCTCTGAACAGGATGTCCTACTTCGCCAGCGGTCGCGGCCGGGAAAGGGTGCGGCCTGGGGCCGCGGGAGGGCGCGTGGGAAGCGCGAGGCTCCCTCGGCCTCGCTCCGCCGCTGGCCGCGGCCACCCAGTCCTCGGACGGGGACAGGTTTCCCTCCGCGGCCACTGGCCAACCTCCCAGGCCCCTCCTCCCGCGCCCTCCGCGGGGCTCGCCCCCCTTCCCAGCGCGGCCGCCCCCTCCCCGCGCCACGTCCCCGGCGCCCCGCCGGGCCACTCACCGCGCTGGAGGCCGCGGCTCCCGGCACCGTCGGGGCACTTGGGAACTCTGTGCGGGGAGACCGGGCGCGGTCAGGGCCCGGGACGCCGGGGCCCCGCGGCAGCCGAGGCCGCCGCCTCCGGAAAAGTTTGCGGCTCGCAAGGGCGGGAGGGG